GGCATTTTTTAGATAGGATTCATATGTGCTTTAGATATTGCAGGTAAATTTTGAACCTAATAATTGACAGGAAAAAAACATTTTTTTTAATTTGACGAAGGTATTTGAGTTACATGATTTGCCATATTTGAGCGATAAATGGAAACTGCAATGGGACACACGTCTTGTACATTTAAACAATGTTAAAATGCTTGGTCGAACAGTGAATGAAATTATGTCAAACTTAACAGCAGTTGTTGAAAGATTGGCGGCAGCAAATATTTTTTCAATTTATATATATAAGTTTTTGGCATATACAATTTCGGACAAAAGTCTAACAGATTTGGTAGAATAATGTTGCTTATAAAAGTTAATTTTATCTATATAAAAAACTTTAAAAGGATTGCAAAAAATTGAAAACAACACGTTTAATAATTTCATGCGTCCGAAGCGCTTTTCTGGATTTACCTTCATCAGGAACGCTCAAAGCCAAACATTTGAAATCCGAGGGATGTATAAGTACCGAAACAGTTGAAGAGCTATATGACAAAAATACATAAAACAAATAGCCAAATTCATCTAAGGTCAACTTTGCCTGAGGGAGTTGAAACCTTAGTTTCTTTCTAATTTCAAAATTTATAAACGGACAATTTTAGAAAGGTTTGTTATAAATCATGTCAGTACCGAAGTACTGACTACTGAGCTGATGATACACTCGGGGACTGATAGTCCACCAGCAGAGGTATCGACCCAGTGATGTAAAAAATTAAAAACAACACGTTTAATAATTTCATGCGTCAACTAGAATCTTATCTAAATATATCTAATTTTCAGATAAGGAGATTGATCACTAAATTTAGACTAAGTGATCACTCCTTCTTAATTGAAAAGGGGAGATATTTTAAAATCCCAAGAGAGGAACGACTTTGTCATAAATGTAAAATACTAGAGGATGAGAAACATTTTTTACTCTTGTGATTATAAAAAAACACAAAGAAATGCCTTTTTTGAACACATATGTACTGAAAATAATAACTTTAATAATTTAAATGAAGAAGAAAAAATTCATTATTTACTAAATCCATCAACGCCTTCACAAACAAATAAGTTGGGATCCTTCTTGAAAAAGAACTGAGGGCAGGGGACTCTTAACAGCTTGTTTGTTTTTATAAATTTTTATGCTGTTTTTATTGTGTTTGTTTGATATGTATGTATATATGTTTATTGTGTTAATACATGTTGGTCACAAACTGTAAACGACAATAAAATATTTGATTTGATTTGACTTGTTTATAGCATATAACTGGTCATTTATAACTTTGGTAGACATGTTAAACTGCACTGTCATCCTAAAAGTAGTGTTTCTAGTTAAACAGTAGTGGCACAGGCATATGAGGTTAATAGATAATCTAAACAAGCTAGTTTTTGACAAGGGTTGAAAATATCTATTAAATTCACCAAGCTGCAGGGAGGATGTTAAAGAAGGTTTATATACTATCAATTTTGTATTTATAACCGTAAGGTAATGTAGTTCAGTTCTAGAATCAAGCAGTTTAAATTTGCCTGTGAGTTTTATTTCATCTTTAAAAAGAGTATGACCAGGCCATTAATGACATGTTATATAACCTTTAACAACGAACAACACGTGGGATAGATAACCTGGCATGGTACAGACACACAATTTGGTGGGATCAAACAACTTTTATATAATTATCAGTTCAGAGGCTGTTGTACAGAAAAGGATGGATCAACACGTTTCTGTGAAGATTACTGCAGACTCAACAAGATTTCTACCAAAGATTCGAACCCCATTTCAGGATCGATGATTCATTGACCTGGATGGCTGGGCATTGTTTCAATATAATGCATATGTGCTTTAGATACTGTCAGACGTAGCTTGAACATAAGAATTGACGCAAAACATTTTTTAATTCGATGAAGGTCTTTGAATTGCAGAGTTTGCCACATTTGAGCGGTGAATGGAAACTGCAATGGGACACAAGTGTTATTTATTTTAACAATCTCATAATTTTTCGAACAGTGAATGCAATACTGTCAAACTTAGTTGCAGTTGTTGAAAGATTGACTGCTGCAAATATTTTTTCAATTGATAGATTTTGGCTTATAGAATTTCGGACAAAAGGCTAACATATTTGGTATAGAACTGTTGTTTAGAAAATTTATCTGGTCATTTATAACTTTGGCAGAAAAGTTACATTGGACTGGTACAATCAGGAGGTTTAAACTTGAAGTCATAAAATGTTGATTTCATCCTAAAACTACTGTTTCTAGTTAAAAAAATAGTGGAACAGGTATCCAAGGTTAGTAGATAATTTTAACATGATGGTCTTGAAATATTTTAAATTTGACAAGGGTTGATGAATATCTATTACATTCATCAAACTGCATGGAGGACATCATATAATAGTTACACTATCAACTGTTTCATTACAACCATAGGATATTGTAGTTCAGTTCTAGAATCCAGTAGTCTAATTTTGCCTGTGAGTTTTATAACATTTGGTATATCTTTGTTTAATTATGTGAACACACATAGGAAGCATTGAATGATATAGAATACATTTACATCAAATGCAGAGTATACATTACCAGGCATCGTATTTCCTGTCTTGATTTCTTACATTGATAGAAGGTTGCTCCTTTCAAGGAAGCCATTGCATCAAGAGGTCTTAACATTACAATTTATTTCAAAGTTTTACTTCCCAATTATCAATTTCCCATTTCTCAGCAGTAACATACCCTCTGCCCCTTCGTATGGTGTTTACATATCTCAATTGATACGTTATTCTCGTGCTTGTTCACACTATACGGAATTCATATACAGGAGTGTGCTCCTTACACAGAAACTGCTCCAACAAAGTTATGAGGAGGACAGATTAAAAATGACACTCCGTAAATTTTACGGACACCATCACGAATTGGTTAGTCCATACGATGTGTCTTTGTCCAAACTAACTAAGGACATTTTTACCACGTGTTAGATTGTAGTTTGTCATTACGTCGTCTGATCTTTTAATTACCGAACGTGACTTATTCCCGATAGTGACTGTTTTGCTGAGTATGAAACCGCATTGCTATAAGACGTGTCACGGTACCTTTCTATCCCAAATTCATGTATTTAATTTTTATGTTATATTTGCTATTCTCGTCGGATTTTGTCAAATGTCTTAACGTCTTTTCTGTTATATTCGTGTGTTATGGTAAAGATAATTAATCACCCCCTTCATTTATTAGATTTTAGTTTGGTTCAACGAAATTTATACGATATATTTGGTTTACAGTTTGATTCAGAAGAAACACCGACATAGCTAGATAATACAATTAATTATCTAATTACTACCACAATTTGATATTAATAAGTATTGTAATTTTCATTGTTATTAATAAATGTAATGTCAGTATTACAAATCTAATCTTGAATCAATCCTAATCCTATCTTATTTTTGGGAAATATTTTTACAAATTCAAATCTGACGTCACTTTGTGTGTTTTTTTAGAATTTCAAATGTGACGTCACTTTGTGCGTTGATGCTTTGGCTAACTCGGCTGTGTATTTTTATATGTTGGATAAAGTTGTTTTATGTAATGTATCCGTTTTTATTCTGTAGTTAGTCCCCACTTCGGTTTTATCATGTATATCTATTATATAGTCATTTTATAAAATTTACTGTTTGCAAAATTATAAATTATTCTAAATAATAAGGATGTTCTTGTCCCAGGCAGAAAACCCTGGCCGTGTTAGGCGCAACTTTTTGGAAGTTTTGGTCCTCGGTGCTCTTCAGCTTTGTACTTGTTTTGGCTTTCAAGCTTTTTTCATCTGGGCGTCACTGGATTGTCTTGTGTGGACGAGACGCACGTCTGGCGTATTGAATTTTAAGCCTAGTACCTTTTGTTAGCTATTATTCGTGCGTTTCTTTTTCCTATATGTTCTCCCATTTATTTGTATTGGGGTCCTGTCATGTGATGTTGTCGTTTTGGTGTTGTGTTTGACTTTGCCATTAAAGCGGGAGGTTTGGCATGCTACAAAACCAGGTTCAACCCACCATTTTTTTCTTAAAATGTCCTGTACCAAGTCAGGAAAATGGCCATTGTTATATTAAAGTTCGTTTCTGTGTGTGTTACATTTTTAATGTTGTGTTTTTGTTGTGCCGTTGTTCTCCTCTTATATTTGATGCGTTTCCCTCAGTTTTAGTTTGTAACCCGGATTTGTTTTTATCTCTATCCATTTATGAGTTTCGAACAGCGGTATACTACTGTTGCCTTTATTTAGGGACTCCACAATGATATGGTCGACGATTATGAAATATCTACATCTTGGACGATTATGAACAGGTTATATTTATCGTCACAATCCTATTCTCCTTTTTGACATTACTCTTCATTTAATGGTCATGAACATTAATTAGCACATCTACTTTTTCAGAAGGAACTTCTTTACCTCCCACAGCACTTGAATACATTCCTACTTTTAGCAAGGGATTAATGTTTTCTGTGTGGTTTTGTGCGATTCTATTTTCAAATAGCTTGTGTGTTTCTATTTTTAAACGTCTTGTTCTGATAAAAAAAAACATATTTCAAACTTTTTGTTTAGGTAGGAGTTTATTTACCTTGTTTATAAACCTTATAATGCTTTAGGTTGAACGAAAGATGTACACCAATCCACAATTGTATGTTTCATCACCAAGAGTTTCAATAACATATAAAAGAAGGGTGTCATTAGCAGAGCAGCAAAGATGACCTTTCTGAAGCATCTCAGTTCAACCCAAGGTTTTGTTGGGATTTTAGGTTGCTAACTCTTTTGAATTCTGTGTAGTGTTTTGTGAGTCGTTATTTGTCTTTTTGTCTCTGTTTACTTAGCCAATAGGGTTGTGTGTCTTTCTTCAATGTGTGATTCTTGTACTTTCTTATATTTTTTTGGATTAACAATGTCAATACCTCCAATATTGATATCTGATTTATTTCTTTAGCCTCTCCGTATTATGAATAACAAAGTAAAGACATTATCTAATTTGTACAAACTTTATTTGGAAAATGTTGGAAACAAACTGATATAAACATAATAAACATGGAACAGATAAGGTTTTCATTACAACATGGCTTATAATCCCATCACCACTCCGTTTAATGTCCCCCTCCACAATAAATAAATCAACTGGTAAACATGAAGTCATGAGTCCAGAAAAAAGCTTACTTTGAACTAAATTTGTTTTTGTTTCTATCATATATTATTTTTCATATGTAGACATGCAATACAACAGTTTACAGTTCCCATGTAAATAATTCTTCATTTTAATTAGTATTGTGTACTCTGTTGTATTTTAATATACAGAATGTTCTCCTTAAATGCATGAAGATAAATTAAAGAAAAAGACCTTCTTCATCAATAGAATTTAAACCCTTTCCCTGAACTGAAAGCAGAGCTTAAATGATGTTACTGAAACAATCTCAATATAACTGGATTGATCCTAGCATAACAAAAGCTCCCTGAATTGCTAACAAATATTAACAATACATGTCAAGCTGAATGTGAAACTGTTTGAGTGCACACATTAAGTGTTGTTTTGGTAGAGTCAGTTAAGCAAAAGAAATGTAAATTTTCAAAAGAATTAACTTGACAAAAATGTTAATTACTTTTTAAAAGTATGTAACATAACTTTGGTCAGAGTAGCATTTTGTACCTATGGTATTTATGTATATATTCACACATATAGATGAAATTCATTATCTAATTAAATGTAAATAAAGCAAGGGTATCTAACCTACAAAGCCACATAAACCAAGCAAATATTGAAACGATTTGAAAATATAGTAGATACTTCATTCATTTCTTTTCTATTTTTACACATTTATCAAAACCAAAACAAAAACAGAGGATAATTTTCACAACAAACCTTTTAAAAAGTTTTTTTTAAAGGCATTTAAGCGTTTATTTCAATATCATAGCATTTTATGAATAAAGCAGATGTAAATGCAATTATTTTTAAACTAGACAACTTCCAAAAAATAATGTCTTCACAACTTAACATAGGCATTTTACCAATTTCACATAATACTACACAAAAATCCATTACTAATCAATAAGTAATTATGTTTTTGAAAGACCAATTAACAGTTCACTCATTGTTATGTTTCAAAAAACATTTTCCTTAATTATTTTACCTCTGCTTTTTGCAATTGAAAATCTAATAAATTCTTACCACAAACTTTCAACCACTATTATTTCTTAGACAAAATACAATATTAAATGTTGACATTTTGAGAAAAATATTTAAAGAAAAGATGTATGGTATTAAAAAAACTTACATGAATTTGTGGTGTAGTGAAATTACTAGACACTAAATACCATTGAACTTTTCTCAGTGAAATAATAAATTGAAAAAACACTTGTCTGTAGACTGAACATCCATAGAGCTGTAATGACATAACTAATCCTATTATCAAAATATGAAAACTATTTATGAAAAGCACCTTTTCTGTATTATTAAGATATCTTTTTGCATATAATAAAGAATACAACTTAAATTGTGTATAATTAAAACACTATGGGTATTGCATAAATGCTAATTGCAAAACTAGACTATTGCAGAAATAAAAGCTACATAATAAAAATAAAATGATTTAAGATAAAAGTTCAATGCTGTAGATATGTGATTATGGCCACTTTTAATATTAATAGTATTATGGGGAAATATATAAATCAGGTTCCAAATTGTTCATTTAAAATCATTTTTCATTGAATCAGATAAATTAATTCTAACTCACAAAAATATCATAAAATCTCTGATGTAACATTTCTGAGATTTCATTAAGGAATTTATTATCTAAAATATATAACTTACAGAGTTGGCACTTATAAATATTTCCATGAGTGTGTTGATTAAATGCTTCACGGAGTTTAATTTAACTTGTTATATTATCATAATTATATATATTGACTTAAATAAAACTTGAAATGATTTATGTGTGTACCAAAATAATTCTGATTGCAATGAATAAGCATGACAACGTTAAAATTCCTGCAATGGATTTAAAAATAAATAATTCAAAGTACCATCCCTTGGTAATTTGCATGTTTAAAAAGTACAACCTTTTGTAAAGAGATTCATGCAATTGAGATTTATATTTTGAAGTACTTAACATTAAGTTTATGGATGGAGTAAGAATGAGTGCAGTTTGCATAAAACTAACATTCATTATTGTGAACAATACATACTCATTATGCCATCTACATCTATAAAAAAAATTACTAAAATAAAAAAAATATTTGAACAAAAAAAATTCTGTTTAAATGAAATCCTTCTCTTTAACACAATGTTTTACTACAAAATGGAATGTGTACAATGAAAGTATAATTAGGGTAGCTTAGTTATTGTGATGAGCACTATACATATTAATACTATTGTATTTGTATCACCATTTTTATTCAAACAGTGCTGCTATAATTTATATACTCCTAAAAATTAATAAAGATCTTTCTTGTATTTTATCAAACATTTTTAATTTCAAAATATTTTCCTGTATTAAGTTACTTTTGTGATCACAATTAAGTTTCTTTTTTATAGGTTTTTTATATCTACACAGTAACCTATTGACAGAATCTGTTTAAACATTTTTTACTGAATCATACTTTTGTTTCTGTCTGCCAATATGACAAGTTAGTGTGAGAAACAAAAATTTATGATAGAAAAAAAAAACACTGACTTATTTGATTAATATAAAAATATAAACATAATTTCTTCCTATATAAACTTTAATTAAAATAAATAAAACTTTGTATGGCACATTTTGTATAGAATTGTTAGTACATTACACAAGATTTCATTAAAACTTATCTGAAGCTTGGCAAAGACAGTAATACATTTCATTATAAAGACAAAAATATATCTACCCTATATCCTTGATGAGAAAAGTCTATTAAATACATCTTTTAATTGATAATTAACATGGTATATATTTCTTATTTGATTCAAAGATTTTTCTCACAAAATGTTTTTTTTAATACAAGCCCTATAGCAAATGATCTTAAAACTTAAAAAACAAAACAAAACATTCTATAACAAAACAAAAATCAAGAAAACACACATGTATATGGCAACAACAGAAAAGTTAAAAAACTTTTAACTTGAGATAAAATAGTCATTTATGGTCAGTAAGATAATTTTAAAAACCTAAGTAATTTATTTCACCAGCATCTCATGCAAATGTAAGTTATTTTTTTTTATCTTAAGATATTTGATTGTTTCAGAAATTATATTCAAAGTTTGAATTCAAACATTTTGTTTGATTGGAAAACTTAATGTATGAGTAATACGTTTCCTTGATAGCACAAGAATCTGATGTTTTATTTACAATTAATCATAAATATCTTCAAAATTTTATTTGCATAAAGTAAGGTATGACCTGTGATGGTTTTAATGTTGATGTGATATGATATGAGTTGGCTTTTTGAATATTTTTGAACAATTTCATTATAATGAAAGAATGCTAAAACAAGCTTACTACATATACTACATCAGTCCTCTTTTTATATCTTTATTTTATCAAAATATTTGATAAAATAAAGTGATTTTTTTTTCTTTTCAATATCCGAAAACAAATCATATAAACTTTTTTTTAACATTTTTTTTTTTACTTTTTTTTTTTGTGGCTTCATCTAGTATTTGATAGGATGTAAATTATTAAGTAGACTATTGGCAAACTAATTTTCTATTCCTTCAATTAACCTCCCAAGATTTACCTGGGGAAAAAAACAAAACACACATTATATATTGTCTTTTTTCTGGTATTATCAATTGATAGTATTATATTTTTAATTGAAAATGAGCTAAAACAAATCCAAAACAAATCACCTCTCTTTTAAACTTTCATCTATCTGAAGTGCTTATTACAATCATAGATCACTCTTCTTACTGTCTTCCAATAACAATATAAAACCAAACCTTCAAGAAGTTATACAAAATTCTCTGTAGAAAATACGGTTTGTGCATAGTTATAAACTTGAGGTCATTTCAACTGAGTTTAAACTTGTTATCGTTCTAGGAACTAAACCATCTATACTGTAACAACCAGGCAAAATAATTTATTCAGGTATCCTAGGAGGACTTGTTGACATCTGGATACCACTTTTAGGACTAGTAGATAATGATGCAGTTCTAGCAGGACTAGAGGAGTAGATACCCAGGGGTTTGTCAGCTTCTTCCATCGACATACTTCTTTTTCTGAGAGGAATATCTGCTCCATCCATGGAGGAAGATCGGGAAACTCTGGTCATAGGTACACCTCCAACTGTCAATAGAAAACAGAATAAGGTCAGGCCAGAAACTTAGGTCATAGGTTCACCTCCAACTGTCAAAAGAGGATGAAAAGTCTGGCCCAAACACAGGTCATAGGTTGACCTTCAACTGTCAGAACAGGACAAATGGTAAAAAAAATATAAACTTTGGTTGGCACAGCTTACCTACCACCTTCTACTTTTCAATGACTTAACACTTCCATTGCAATTTTTTAGCAATAAAAATCAACTCTTTTGAAAGGCCAATAAAACTAAAACAACTAAAAACTGAAAAAAACAAAAATATTCAAAAGTAGATTACATATGCATGTACAACTCTTTTCTATATATCATAAAGATTGGACATTTATTATTTGAGTTACTTCCCTTCATACAGGTTCTGATTTTCTTTTAATTATTCTGTATGTACAATTTTCCAAATATTTTGCATAAGGGAATTTTCTTCAACATGTTCAAGAAAAAAATAAGAAATCCAAACTAAACAATGCTATGAAGTTTTGTTTAATGATTAAAAAAAACATATTCATAATGCATATGAAATATTCCCTCAAATATTGTTCCTAGAGGGCACCTTGCAGTCAGATACTTTATCAGTGGCTGTCTATAATCATATCTTAATGTTTCTTGTTATTTAAGCAATCTGATGACATATCTTTGACGGTCTTTTTTAAATTTAGAAGCAGCTTTTTAGACTAAGAATGATTTAGGGCTTGATATTGTATATACACCTATCTATTGGTCGTGATTTAGGGCTTGATATTGTATATACACCTATCTATTGGTCGTGATATAGGGCTTGATATTGTATATACACCTATCTATTGTTCGTGATTTAGGGCTTGATATTGTATATACACCTATCTATTGGTCGTGATTTAGGGCTTGATATTGTATATACATCTATCTATTGGTTGTGATTTAGGGCTTGATATTGTATATACACCTATCTATTGTTCGTGATTTAGGGCTTGATATTGTATATACACCTATCTATTGGTCGTGATTTAGGGCTTGATATTGTATATACACCTATCTATTGGTCGTGATTTAGGGCTTGATATTGTATATACACCTATCTATTGGTCGGCCATTTGTTAGCCTCTATACATGTCTTTTTGGTTTTTCTGTGTTATTGAGTTGCTGCCTCACTGACATAAACTCTCAAACTCCTTATATTCTAGGGAAAATATAGATCAATATTATAATCTATTGATATTTAGATCAATCTTTTACCCTAATGACTTACTTAGTCCTAATCCTTGACAGAAATACAAAAAGGCTTCTCCTAATTTCTCTGTCTGTAAAAGAAATAAGAACATTCAATCCCCAATGTAATAAATAAGTTAAACTTAGTTATATATCAAACATGTTCATGATGGGTAAATAATATTTGTCGATCTATATCAAATATACATTTTCTAATCAAAATTTTCAATTGTTTATTTTGGTTCTTGTACGGCATATATTTATTTTGTAATGGTGGGTAGTAAATGCATGTTTTTATAATGTCTTCAACAAAATTACCAGATGTTTCTAAATGTTTCAATTGTGTGCAACTGGGATCTTCTTCCTCTTCTCTCCAGAAAAAATACATAAAATTCCTCTTCTTGGTGTTACTTTTTACCATTGAGGGATCTTTGTTTGATTGCAATTTATAAAATACTGGTTAAAAGCAAGAAATTTATAACTAATCACATCTCACAGAATATATGTTAATTTAATCATAGTGTTGTTTACAACATGCCTAAACAGGTGTATTTTATGAAACAAGATTCAAGTCTTGTGGTAAATTTTTAATATTATATTTAGGATAAAAAATTCAAATATCACATTGATATATTTTACTTTGTACTAGACTAATATGACTGACATACTGATTTAGATTTGAAATGTTCTAGCCAACCTTGTTACAATCTGAAGGAACCATTCAATCATCTGAGAGAGCTACCTACCTTTTCTTCTATTACATTAGACACATCCACTACCTCTAATAATGCGTCAATAATCTAAAGAAGCTACCTACCTTTTCTTCTATTACATAAGCCACACCCTCTACCTCTAATAATTCCTGTCAATCATTTAAGACAGCTACCTACCTTTTCTTCTATTACATTAGCCACACCCTCTACCTCTAGTAACTCCAACTGTTTCTTGTCTACTTTTTGCAACATGTGACCATATAAATTATGTACAGTGTGGTTGAAAGAGGCCTTAGTTCCAGTGATCATTAGCACCTGACATCTACAAGAAGAATGTTAGACACTGATTATTTTAAGAAGGCAAGGCAACATATTAGACAAGTTAATGTGTATTCAGTACAATAAGTTTACGTCACCTCGGAAAATTAAGCTTCAAAGTGATGGATCACATACTTATTTGGTATTGAGAAGTTAGACACATTGTCATGCTAAGCATATACCCTCTCTTTAATTCAAAGTATTGGAAACCAGAAGCTAGGGCTTCAACAGATCTGAAAAAGTATCAGGAAACAAGTAGTATGTGTCGTAAAGATCTGAAAACAGTACACACCTTACAACTCATCACTGTTAGTTTATTAATCAGACACTGAACCATGACTTAAGACACATAACAGACCAAAAGTCAGAGCATAAGGCATCTGTGTACAAGATATGACCTACCCATGTCTTCTACCTTCTGAAATAAAAAGCTTTATAGAAAGAGCAAAAGCCACCAGATTAGCATCTCTCGGTCTCCAATTGTTACATTCATTGCAGGGGAGACACAAAACAATAATTTATTAATTGTCTATATCAAATCAGTTACCGCACTGAATTGCATTTAATTTACTTAACTAATGTTGTTTTATTTTGAAGGTTAAATCTGTAGTGGAAACAATAGTTAAAAACAAGAAATAAAGGTAAAAATTCGTAAGGGTTCCACGGAACCCAGTGTCTCGCCTACTTTTGCTGTTAATCGCAGACTCAACAAAAATGAGAAAAAAAAACTAATAAAAATATTCCTCTCTATACTATTTTTTTATTGTAAGTAGCTTCTGTCCAAGTTTGGTAAAAATTCAGGATAGTTTATGAATCTAATAAATGTTTTAAAAACTTAAACTGCAGACTGTATGTAATGTTAACTGGAAGAAAAACTAAGTCCATTTATAAGTAAAATACGGAAAAAATGGAATTAAATTTTAACAAAATTTCCTTCTAGATACTAGCTTTTAATCATAAACAAGCTTCTGTCCAAGTTTGGTACAAATCCAGGATAGTTAAAGAATGTTGTTAAAATTTTAAAAACTTTAACCAGAGTGAATGTAATGTTAACTGGCAGAAAAACTAAGTCCATTTATAAGTAAAATACGGAAAAAATGGAAATTTTTTTTTGCAAAATTTATTTTTGGATACTATCTTATGATCATAAACAAGCTTCTTTCTAAGTTTGGTAGAAATCCAGGATAGTTTAAGAAAGTTATCAAAATTTCAAAAACTTTAACCACAGAGTGAATGTAATGTTTCCTGGCAGAAAAACTAAGTCCATTTATAAGTAAAATACGGAAAAAATGGAAATTTTTTTTGGCAAAATTTACTTCTGGATACTATCTTATGATCATAAACAAGCTTCTTTCCAAGTTTGGTAGAAATACTGGATAGTTTAAGAAAGTTATTAAAATTTCAAAAACTTTAACCACAGAGTGAATGTAATGTTTCCTGGCAGAAAAACTAAGTCCATTTATAAGTAAAATACGGAAAAAATGGAATTTTTTTTTTACAAAATTTACTTTTGAATATTATCTTATGATCATAAACAAGCTTCTGTCCAAGTTTGGTAGAAATCCAGGATAGTTTAAGAAAGTTATTAAAATTTCAAAAACTTTAACCACAGAGTGAATATTTGTGGACGCCGCCGACGACGACACCGACGGAATGTAGGATCGCTATGTCTCGCTTTTTCGACAAAAGTCGAAGGCTCGACAAAAATAGAAATAAAGGTAAAAATAAACCTTTTGTTCAGATACACAAATATGCATGAGAATTGTTATTTATATAATGATAAACAACACCCTATTATCAATGTAATATGTTTATTTTAAATTTTAACATTTCAATTTGTCACTTATTTGAATGCAAACTAGGCACACAATATGCGTTTTATCTTTCAAAATGTAAAAAAAAAAACAAGAATATATGTCCATAGGCCAGGGGTTAAAAAATTTTGTTACAGCTCACTAGCCCAGGACTTATTGGTAGCAGGATTTTAATAGTCCTGTTGGAAGAACTGCTAGCCCATCAAAACTGACCTGCTAGCCCGAGTATGTCTTACAAATTCAGAGTTTGCTGCATAATACAATGACTTCTTTAAACTTGTTAATTTCTATCTGTTGTACTATGGGTTGTTAAATATTTTACAGGACCTCGGGGATTTAAATGGATTGAAGAGTTATCCGATAATACACGTGTAATTAAATTTCCAGTCACTGACCACTGTATTGATTTATGACATTCTTTTTGCACGAGTGTTTACCTAAGATTATCTCTGATCACCATGATAAACTACAGAAAACATGTTCATTGGTCTTTTCATATGAAACCAGTGGTTCAAATCATATATTTGTTCCCACATACAAAGCAGACTTTTTATTAGCGTTATCGGGAAAATAACGGCAATATTCACAAAACATTGTCTCTGGTTTATCATCAGCAACAGCTGGCCTTGCCCTGGAATTCGTTTTGTCCATGACACTATAAAAGTTCTTTTCTGCTTTTCCCGGTTGTATTTGGCATTTTTTTGGGATGAATTTTCAGCCTCATTACCCCCTTCATCTACCGTTTTTTGTATTGAAACTGACCAAGTTCCTGGGGTGTCCGTACTAAAATATTTCAAATATTTTGTTAGATGGTTTAGTGCTCAACAGCTGTCCGACATGACAGGTCAATATCGATCAATGCAGCATACCCCCACTAGCCCCATGCAGTACCATTACCGGTAATTGAAAATCTCGGCATTAGCAATGTACAATACCCCCTGTACTGAGGAATTGATATTGAAGGTATGGGAATTGCGATCAACACATGATACCGGTCCACCCAGAGTTATTTGTTCTTTTTTTAAAACATGTACAAAATCAATTCAAATTCTTGGAATCCCGGATGACGTAATTGAATCTGATTGGCTAAGATAGAATAGTGATGAGGGGATTTTCCACTTTCTATTTTGGAAACGCCAAGAATTTTATGTTACTAGTCCGTCGGGCATATTGGGTTACAAGTTTTGATTGCCCGAAGCGTAAAAGCTGTAGCCCTGGGCGTCGGGCTAGTGGATTTTTTAACCCCTGTAGTCATATAGGACACAATTCCCTACTCACACTATTTTCTTGTGCAAAATCATGATCAAATTCATAATTTGAAATGCATTTTCAAAAGTAAAAATCACAATGAACATAAATTTCATGTTACAGTGATGACTTCATGGTAAACTACATTTATCTGATAATTTACTGAGCCACAGACTGGAAAATCTTATCTGCTTCAAAAGAATGATTAGACCACTGAAAAGTACAGTATCTGAACGAAATACAAAACTATCTGGAATCTCATGTGTGTGTGTCTTAAGTTTTGAGCCTATGACCTATAAAATTAATAGTTTTCAAAATCTCCTTGTAGATAAACATTGGACAATGTCCCCAATGATGTGATGGAAGTTGAAGTTCCTACAATCTTACGCTGTGACCTTGACATTTACCCTACTGATTACAGTAAGTTTATTCCCACTGTTTCTACTTACTTTAACTTTCCAATACTATCTAGAATATTAGTTCTCCTGAAAAAAAAAACACAAATATACAATTACAGTAAATAATTTATTGCATGAAAATAAATTCAAATAATATAAATACAGAAATTATCTGACAAAAATCATATTTCATTAGAAATTCATTTTGATTGTGGTAACATCAGATTTGATGGAGTTAAACAAAACACAAAGTTAATGTTACATCATGTCAATCCAATCATATTTTCTATTCAATTTATAAATATTACTGGTTTTTTATCTGTTTAATATTCATTATCTAGTAAGTTAATCAGTTTTATTGTCAGGAATAAAACAAATTAGACTTTCTAATACTCTGGGAAAAGGATTCAGATAAGTATGACAAGTTGATACACTTTCTTACTATTTTATTGATTTGACACAACATATTTTCCAACTGGTTAAATGGAAATTAAATAGCAGAAGAAATGGAAGACTTTCATCATCACACGTATCTGAGAAAAAGAACTGGTCTTTTAGATGGTCATTAATGCACAAACCTGTGTAAGCTATGAGTATTAATATGGTTTACTTTCTTTATGAAAGACCATACATTAATGTGGGTCTATATGGTGTATTAATTTGGTGAGCAACAATCCACAGGAAGATGTGTTGTCATATCCAGACATTTTAGTCTGACTCTGGGAAACCAGTTTTTGCTCTTTATTCTTAATCCTGCATGATAAGTGGAGAAGCAGCATATACAAACTTTAAAATCTTTTGTTTGACCTTGGCAGGGATCCAGATCAAACCACTGAGGCGGTTTGAGAAGTTATGTCCATATATAATTACTTCATGAAAGTCTGTATAATTTTTTTAAAGTTATGAGGGTCTATATAGTGTCCTTACTTCATGAGAAGTTATGAGGGTCAATATGGTGTTCTGACTTCATTAAAAACTTACAAATATGTGTCAAAATAAGGGTCTATATGGTGAACTTACTTCATGAAAAGTACTTACTTCCTGAAGAACTAAAAAAATCTGGCTCAGGGTGTACTTACTTCATGAAGATAATTTTGCTGTATTTTCTTCATAAGACAATACACTTCTGTGTATTTTTTAAGGGTCTATATGGTATACTTACTACATGTCTGTATAGGTAATGAGGGCAGTCTTCACGATAAACTTTTGAATCTACAGGCCCAAAGCTGAATTTTACGAAAATTTTAGTTATATTCTATTGGCCTGTAGACTGTAGAGGTGATTTTCAAGGCCCAAAGGCATTTTTACAAGCCTGGGCTGGTGGGCCTGTAGTTAAGCGTGAAGACTTTGAGGGTCTATATGGTGTACTTACTCCATGTCTGTATAGGTAATGAGGGTCTATATGGTGTACTTACTTCATGAAAGACTGTACAAATCTGTGTAAGTTATGAGGATTTATGTGGTGTCTAAGAGAGTCCTGGAATGTTGCAATCACTTTGTTTAAGTCATCTTTATTCTTTGCTTTCTCAAACTATATTAAAAGAAAAAGGAAAAATTTTATTTATCTATAATTGGCATTTAAAGATGTATCTTGCTCAACTTATGGAATAGGTTCAGAACTAACTGTACAAAGCAAAATGGTATAAAATTAGGATAACGTCATACTATGCTTTGAAATTGATAGTATCAGTATTTGAAGTTAAAAGAACTGGCAAAAACATAATAAGTTCCAGTATTAACTTTTTTATTCAACCTCCTGAAATATGATTTTATCATTGAGTTTTAAATGAATAGTTGTAAAAGTTGTTAGTTCATTATATAGACACTAGCTAAAAAATCAAAATGTATACATTATAGTTATAATCTATAGTATTTCAAGCATCTATAGGTATAAGGTATAAGATATAAATGCAACTCATATAATGTGTTAAATATAAATTCTACAACAGATCTATGGATTTACAGGGAAATATTTATCCTACATACAACCAACACTATGTCAGTCATAGTAAAACATTGAATACTTCATTGTGTGGGGTATAACAATGTACAGAAGTATGATCTAAACCTATTCATACCAGGTCAATAACAGTATTGCATGAGTACAAAAATTGATAAGACAGAATTACGAAAGAAAGGAACTCTTATCAAAATGGTTCATTTACCACTTTCAGCAACTTTGGTTGCTGTGGATTTATTATCATTTGTGGGATACCTTTTTTCGTGGATTTCGTGGGTATAGGTGAACCAAAAATTTAAATGTTCAACAAAGGACATATTTTCTATAGGTTTGAGGGAAGACTTTGGCAAAATCCACAAATTAAATCACCACAATTATTTTTTTTCTCTCAATCCATGCAAACTGGTACCCACGAAAATAAATGAACCCATAATATATCATGGCAGTCAATTTTTATTGGTAGAGGTAGAAATCTGGCAATCCTTGCCTGTAAAGATTAGAGAAGAATAGAGCTCCCAATCAGATGATTCAAGCTCATAAGGCCAATTAAAATTAATTGATAGATTTTCATCCCCGCCCGCCCCTCTGAAATCGTTCCGCCCCAAATTTTTTTATTTTGAAAAATTTACGATTTCCAGATTTTGTTCATTTTTCGTTACCGGTAACTGTCGATAATTTCGTTTCATTAATAACATCCTGTTTCAAATTTTGGTTTTTGCATTTCTTTGTATGTTCGATTCGTTATACATGTATATACATGATAGAACCTTATTATTACACTTGCATATATGAAGAACACGTCACAAGAGCGTTTCATATCTAATAAAAAATAAAAAATATAATCCTCCCACCCACCCCATTTTTTTCAAAAATTTGGATGAAAATCTACTAATTAAATTTACTTGGCCTAACCTCAGAGTTGACAGGGCAAGTGATCACTATAGATGAACTACTTGGACCACTCAGCCACCAAGGCCCCTCATTGAAGCTCCCCATCAGACAATTCAAGCTCATAACCTTAGAGTTGACAGGTCAAGTGATCACTGTAAATGAACTACTTGGACCACTCAGCCACCAAGGCCCCTCATTGAAGCTCCTAATCAGACAATTAAAGCTCATAACCTCAGAGCTGACAGGGCAAGTGGTCACTGTAAATGAACTACTTGGACCACTCAGCCACCAAGGCCCCTCATTGAAGCTCCTAATCAGACAATTAAAGCTCATAACATCAGAGTTGACAGGGCAAGTGGTCACTGTAAATGAACTACTTGAACCACTCAGCCACCAAGGCCCCGCATTGAAGCTCCCCATCAGACAATTCAAGCTCATAACCTCAGAGTTGACAGTTCAAGTGATCACTGTAAATGAACTACTTGGACCACTCAGCCACCAAGGCCCCTCATTGAAGCTCCCCATCAGACAATTCAAGCTCAAAACATCAGAGTTGACAGGGCAAGTGATCACTGTAGATGAACTACTTGGACCACTCAGCCACCAAGGCCCCTCATTGAAGATAAAATATAGCATTTTTTTAAAAGTTTTCTTTGGACTTCCAAATAGTTTCAAAACTTTGTAAAGAATTTCTTTATTTTTTTTCTAAAGGTAAGGATGTTTAATACTATTAACTACCAGCTGATTTCTTTTCAAAGGGACTACTTCGATATTTGCAGAACAAAAATTCAATATCCATTAAACATAAAACTAATCTTTTGTCCAAGTATTGATTGGTTCTTCTTGTACAACACAGACATTTTTTCTCTGTTCAACTAAACAATATGCAGATAGCCATATATACTTTTTTGTATCTGTGAATTCAAAAATAATGATATCTCTTGCTAAATCATTTTTTTTTTTTTTCCCTGTAATATCAATGAAAAAAGAATAAAGACTGTCATTTTCAATATAAACTTTATCCTTTAAGCTTAAATGCAATAAAAACATACATGGAGAACATTTATAGTCGGATTTAATTAAATACAAAATCCTTCACAGACTTCTTTTGTTGCATCTAGAAATAGATATATGAAAGTAACTTTTGATGAACTCAAAATAATATTTTTCTGTCGTAAAGTCACAACAGAAAATGGTAAAATTCAGTAATACCAGGATGGTAATTCAACATGAATATAAATGTTATTCATTGAGGTTAGACCATACAATTATTTGCCATCTAACAAATAATGTCCTGTAGACAGACAGCTTTCATCCTTTTTTCTGATGATGATCAATAAACAATCTATTAAATGGATTACATTTTATGTAACTTGGGACAGAGTACTTTACTGTCAAAACAGAAGATGTTTTGTGAATCCCAGATAATTAAGTACATTTTATTTCTAAATCAACTATCACTAGAACATTGGACTCCAAATATATCCTGTCATATAACGTTTTAATAATATTTCCATCCATGATATTATACAGATGCCTTGATAGAAGTTTAGATTGACTCAATAATTTAAACATGTCGTCAACAATGCAGTGTGCCAGGAAGGAAAATATACAATAACTGTAATTCTATTTGGAAGAACATAAATAGCTAGGTCATATATATACTTACACTACAAAATTATGTAATGGGCTCTTGATTTCATAAAATGTACCCCAAAAATATGAAAGGAATCAAAAATATTTCCAAGTCTTAACAAGATCTGCTGCTTCAAAACAATACTCCTATACAATTACCAGGATTGTAGATTTGGTTGAATGATGTGAAAGTTTTGAGCAGAATAAAATATTTTTTAGGAGGGGGATTGGTTGTGTCGAAACTGAAGAATTTCACAATTAATTTCTGTATAGACTTCAAATTTGAATTTAGTTGGATCAAAAATAAATTGGTTTGTTTTAAGCACTTTAAAAAAAAATCTCCTTAAAAGGCATGGGTTTGTAAAGCTAGGCATGAGCCTTTACAAGAACATATATCATTTTATTGCAATTTTATGATTGTAACGAATGATTAATTAGTATTTCAGCCCATCAATATTTTTTATCCTCTATGTTCTATTTGTCTTTTAATGGTATCCATGTCAGTAAATACTCAGATCTTTTTTGAAGTTTCCTGCAAACAGCAATCATGATTGACAATGAAGACATGCAAAAACATGGCAATGTTAATTATTCAAAAGGCTTTAGATAAGTGATGTTCTGATTTCCAAGGAAAAGAAGGAATTATGTTGGGAGCTTGCCCCTTCGGACCTTTAAAGGCAGAAAGCCATAATGGATACATAAAATCTGGAGAAGATTGAAATTTTCAATGAAAGATAAGAATTTTTGAATGGTGAATTTATAAAAGAAGTATGCAGCAATGGAAGCCAATACTGAAATACCTGCTACTTTCAGGGTAATACCCACTGTGAGGAACCTCCATTAGTAAAGTATTGATCAAGTGATCATCTTACAGATACAACAATTCATTCATAAATCCCTATAGACATTATCAGTAGTACTAATGTCATGGAAACTTATAATAATCATTATTATTGAGCAGAGTTCATTTAATGATTCTATCTGTGTGTCAACAACAATTGATTATGGAAGCTAACATCGCGACACTAATCAGGAAAAATAGCTTAAGTTTGTATTTTAACACCTTAATGCAACACTAACTCAACTACCAGTAGAAATCAATAATAGATCTGAACTGTAAGAGGGTTAATCATTAATGGAGAAATGATGCAGAGTATAGGTTACAATACACCATTAGATTTTATGGGCGCAGCCATTTTATGAGCATAACATGGTATTCAGAATTAAGAGTATAGCTAATCCTGATTGGTTGATATGTGCGCCCGTTATTTTTTGTAATTAGAGACTTCGTGCATTCTGCATTATACCAAAGGCCAAATAAATTATTTTCCTTAGCCCTAACGGAACTGAGATGTCTTTTAAACGCTAGGATGAGACACGTATTTTTAAGTGCAAAATTGATAGGCATGGGAGATAAGTACAAATTACGCTAAGAAAAGCAACGCGAACCTATATTTTTTGGACCAAAAAATACTGTCCTAATAACTTTTCTTTAATTCAAGCAAGGTTTTGTTAAAAAAATCAGCTTTCTAAAGTCTGTATCTCGAAAAAGGCTATCATTGTCGCCTATGGGGAAATTAATTGTTTATTATAATCTATACAGCGTCGACATTTCTTTATCATAGTGCTCAAAAAGTGTCAAAAACAGTAATTTTACTGGATATTTGATGTGAAACCGTATTTTTTGGTGACAAATGAATTATTGATTAACTAGTTTTTAAGCTATAGTCTGTTTCATATTTGTATAGCGTTTTACCTTAGAAACAAGGGTGGGTTCGACTTTTGACTTACTGTGGAGAGAATATGTCATTTTCTGAACTTCTGCTGATTTGTTTGAAAAAAGCACATACACGTCTAGAGTTTGGATATACAAATCGATTTTTAAACATGACAATCTCGATCCAAGTGCTGTTATCGAAATTACCAAATTCAGTGAAAATGTACAGAAATGATCCCCTTCGAACATTGAAATGTTCACTCGAATGGCAGACTATAAAAATTAGAATAGGCATGACATTTTGTAGTTAACGAATAGTTTTCGCTGT